TTTATTAAAGTTACGCAAAACGCTTTTAAATTAATTAACAAATTACTACTAATGATTGTTTAATAAATGAACAAATTTTACAAATTTATTAAAGTGATTTAATTAATATTTTTAAATTGTACAAACATTAATTTTTTCAAAAAGGTTGCAAAAAAAATTGTTTAAAAAAATAACATAGTTTTTTTTAAATAGTAATTTTTAATAATTTCATGCTCTAATTAATATCTAGTTAAAAAAAAGGTTTCCAACTCTTTTATTCATAAAAATAGGAAAAAAATAATTAAATAAAATGCGCCTGCGATTTAAATAAAATAAACTGCCAATTATTAATAATTTAGTTTTAATTTGAGCATTACAACTTTGTTATTAAGCACTTCTCGTAATGAATTAAAAAATTATTATAAATGATTTTAACTCATTCCTATCGTAATAAAAACAAAAACAAAAAAATTTAAGGAAAAAAATAAATAAAATTCTCCTGCAATTTAAATAAAATAAACTGCCAACAAGCAATTTAGCTTAATTTTAATTTAAGCATTACAACTTTATTACTAAACGTTTCACGTTAAGTTACTTCACAGTATGTAAAGTCATTGTAAGTTTAATATAAAAATATAATGTAATAAAAATAATAATATAAAAATGAATTGTATGAACATTACAAAATGCTTCAAAACTTTTCCATTAATCAACAAAATACATGCTTATATAAGTAAATAAAGTTATTTTATATTCTTGTATAATTCTATGTAAACAATCATTAAAATAATTAATTATATGGTTTTATTTTGAAGCCTTCGCGCAAAATTTTAGGAAAAATCAACGACTAAAAGTTATTCATAATGTAACACTTTTTATTGCATTTAAAATGTTAAAACATCAAAATAGCTGTGATCAAGTTGTAAAGAAAAAAAACTATTAGCCTAGTCAGTTACAGAGTGCGATTACACGCCATTCCTGTCCAAACCTGTATATGTATAATATTTTGTGTTAAATTGTAGCAGTATTAGCCAATATTTGTTCTAAAATTTGATTAACTTCACTCATAGGCATGCTGCAATTGATTTTTCCAACATTTTAATGTTTAATCAATTTCACCCTATAATGTAGGGTATGTTTTTGAACGAAATTGATCACTTTTATGATTGATCTATTTCAAATGCAGAGATTGTTATTGGACAAAATTTCAAATGCGAAGATAGTGAAATGCAAATTGTTATTGAATAAAATTGATCACTTTTAGGGCTTTTAAAAAAAATTATTGTAATCATTATCTTGTTTCAATATTTTACCATGTCATAATTAAGCCCCCATTTGGTATACTTAATTAATTTTGTAAGACGCCATTTGGTATACTTAATACAAAAAAAAATGACACAAAAGTAAACATTAAGAAGATATGAATATTAAAATCAATATTACCTGTTTGACAGTATTAGACACCCTAAACAGAACAAATCAAACAAAAGAGCAACTTACCTACCTCTTTAAAGTTATTTTAGATAAAGTTCACTGCTCTTGCCCCTTAACAGAGCATAAACAGAGTTTGTTAATTGATGTTTTTTATTGTTTTGTTTTTTTTTGTTTTTTTTTTATTGTTTGTTTTTTAACTTTATTTATTTAAATATATTTATATGCTTTTGTTATATTGCACAGTGAATTGTACATTAGGTATTGTAATACCTATTATCAGTTTACCGATAAATAGAAAAAAGAAAAATTTTGAAGAAAATTTTTTTTTTCAATGTCTATTTAAAACTTTACAATAACTTTTACAATAATTGTTTTGGGCAATATTGGCTACATAAAGATGCCAATATTGCCCAAAACAATGAAAAAAAAAAAAAAAAAAAAAAAGATTATGCCAACAAAAGTAGTTGCAAATAAAATTTTACAAAATAAGCTAAAAAAAAAGCGTTTAGCCTTATCATAGATGACTGGAAAAATCAATAGTATATAAATATTATTGTTCATTGAAATGACAGAATTTTTCGGAATCTTGGATTGAATTGAATTCATGAATCTGCACCTGCTGAGGTATGCACAGAACTAATTGAAAAGAAGCTAAAAGAGTTTAATATAGCTTTTTTAAATATTGTCTGTATAACATCAGACACAGCTGCTGTTAATAAGAAAACACTAAAATTACTTAACAAAAGTTTTGTATTGTACATGGCCTACATTTGGCAATAATAAAAGTATTTTATAATATTAGTACAACAGATGTACAAGATGTTAATAAATGTGATGCTGATGCAATACTTAATGCTGATTCTAATTATTAGGAAATTGATTCTAATTATTCGGAAGTAGATTATGAAGCAACTAAGACTACCTATCTTGTTCTACAAAATGGAGAAGTAAATTCTTTAATTATAAAAATTGGGTAAGTCATAAGAAATTTCAGAAAATAACTATCCAAGAATGATAAAACTATTGCAAAAATATTTTCAAGAAACTTTCAGAATAGAACTTTCTCTAATTTTAGATGGTAAAACTA